AAAAAGAGCATTAAGTGTTTTGTTAAGATTAGGGCCAAGGAGTTCATGTAGGGAAGGCTTTAAGACAATGAGCATACTTACTGTCCCCTGTTTACACATGTATTCCATAGTCTTGTTTGTACTCAAAAATCCTGATATGTATCAGGTGAATAATGGTATACACAAATTAAGTACCAGGTGGCATAATAAACTACATGTTTCCTTTGTGAGATTATCTTCCATTCAAAAGAGTGTGCATTTTTCATCCATTAGAATATTTAATAACTTGCCATACAATATATATTCTTTGAAAGACAACATTAATACTTTTAAACGATGGCTAAAAGATTATCTTATTTTAAATGCATTTTATTCAGTAGATGAATACATGGCATACAGGCAAGCATAATACATTATTGTTGTCTTTCCAAGATTATGTATTATCTAGATTTGTTATATGACTGCTTTTTATTTTATTATTGTATTTTCATTTTATAATTCCTGAATATTTTAATTGTTGAGACTAGATTGCATTTTGCAATGTCATCTTGCTGACGAATTCAATATCCGGTACGGTTTCCGGACAAAAGATCTGTGAAATTATGTATCTATGTATGTATACTTAAAAATTATAATGTCTAACTTAAGAGCATTCTTTTAAAAAGTAATGTACCCTGGTGTTATCTCTATATTTACACTTAAATAATTCTAATTTTCTCTTACCTAACCATGCAATGACTGACATACAAGACAGAAAAAAAAGAGAAAACAGTGCATTAACATAATTTTAAAACAATATAAAAAACTGAAACAAAATCCCCTAAAATTGGCAATTGTAAAGCTTCTGCTTGCCAGCAGGTGGCCATATTTTTCAAGAATTTTTGGAAAGTATTACTGAGTTGTACTGGATATTATGCAACAGTCATTCTCTTATGTAGCAACCAGAGATTCATGCTGTTTACTAAGAAGTTCAGGAATTTATCTTTGTCACTGAAGCACAGTATGTAAGATTCATACAGCACTATTACTGAAAATCATTTTAGCAGACTAAAGACTTGTGAGGTCAAGTTACATAAAGTTAGTGCTCTGACATATGTTCAGTTTTTCAAATGTATTAAAGCATATTGCAGTAATAGTGTACTTGGATACTGATCTAACCTAACGTTTGCATAACTTAACAACTATGTGTATAGATACAGGACAATGCTCCAGTGTTGGGATGCACAGCCTGCTAAACGACCCTACTTCTCAGAATTGGTAGAGCAGCTAGGTGCTATGCTAGATGAAAATATCAGGAGGGTGAGTTGTATGGAGACTAGTTTCTCCTTAAATTACTCTCAGAGTCTGGCATGATTTTTATTTGTTATTGTTATTTTATACTTATCATATATTCACAGTGATCACATCAATATGAGGTGGTTTGTGCAAAAACAGTAAAATTCTCACTCAATTCAATTTATTTTTGTTCATCAGATCTACATTTGGCGATGGCGCCTCCAGATATAGAACACGTCAAAGCCCAAGTTACTATAAAATCAATCTAGAGGACATCATAAAGATAAAATTCAATACTGAATTGTAATTAAATTACTGTTACTTTAATAATTACTATAGTTCTCAAAGCAATAATTTAAGATTTTAACATGTTTCTTTTTAATATAGATAATTAAAAATATATTTACATTAAAATTCAAAGTCTAAATTGGGTTCAGTGGCTCATAATGTTTCTTCACATATCTGTTCAATACACTACAGCATTACGAGGAACTGAATAACCCATATGTGGACATGAATGAGAGAAAACTGCATAATGACTATCTCAATATGATGAGTGCCCCTACCTACAACAACATGGTTGCTCCACAGGAGGCTCAACATGAAAATGTCAGCAGGTGGGTAGGAAATCTTAAAGCCAAAAACAGCATCATATAAAATGTAAGATTTGAGGTTTTCATGGCAGTGACTATGAAGAAAGCAGTCTTCTGGGATGTGGCACTGTGTAGATGTGGTGTTAACCGATGTTTCGGAGGAACATATCGCCTCCATCTTCAGGGTAGAAGGAAAAATAAGAAATCTGGTACACGCAGACTGGTGTTGGAAATAAGCACAGCTATAGCAGTGAAGGGGGGGGGGAAGGGGCTGGAAACAGAAGCAGGGTTTTGTATAAGATATCAAGAGTAATCATCAACCATTTAGTTATAAGCAACTTTGTTAAACAGTTTTATCTTCTTGAATATAATGTCATGGAATCTGTTGATACTCAATGACTTTATATCCCAGAGAACATAATTTTTCATAACCACAACTGAGAGAACCTAAAATCTTACAAGTCTCTTAAACCTAAAGGGCTCTGTGATAATAGTCATGCACTGTGAAGGTCAAAGGTAAATGAAAAGATATCCTTGGGCTTAATCAGTTAAGCACCATGCTATGAAGATGCATGGGGAATTGGAGGTATAACCCACCATTCTTAACCTCTACTCTAGGTGGAGATGAGTGGAAAACTTCATGCCCCTGCCACTTTACCATAGGGAAGCAACCTCCAGTACTCATTGTATAAACAGTTAAAACAATTTATTTCAATTATAAATCTTTGTAAATAAATGAGTAACTGTTATTTATCCCCTTCTTGTGTATTTGTAACATGCAGAAGTGGGCAGTGATGCTACTGTTTGGAGGCACAAGCTACTTTCATCTTCCATCTGAAGATGGAGGCAATGTGCAGTTGGAAATACTGCCCACTTCCAAGTGGTGTAAACATGCAGGAGAAGAACTGGTATCAACAATGAAACACTGTGATAGGTAAATGGTTGTCTGATAATTTTCCTATCCAGAATGGTCTAAAACAAATAGATGCTTTATCACCACTGCTTTTCAACTTTGGCTTTAGAATGTGCCATTAGGAAGGTCCAGGAAAACCAGGTGGGACTGAAATTAAATGGCACACATCAGCTGTGCTGATGATGTGAATCTACTGGGTGATAATACAGAAACCATAAAGAAAAACACACAAACTATAATTGACACTAATAAGGAGCTTGGTCTAAAAGTAAATACAGAGAGAACTAGGTATATGTTGCCATCTCGTAACCAGAATGCAGGACAAATTCATGACATAACGATGTTTTGAAAATGTGGTACAGTTCAGATGTTTGGGAATGGCTACAACAAATCAAAACCTGACTCAGGAGGAAATTAAAAGGAGATTGAATTCGGGTAATGCTTGCTACCATTCAGTCCAGAACCTTTTGTCTTCTCATCTACTGTCTAAAAACATAAAAATTTGATTATACAAAACTAATTTTCCTATGGTTCTGTATGGGTGTGAAGCTTGGTTTCTAACATTAAGGGCTGAATGTAGACTGAGGGTGTTTGAGAACAGGGTGTTGAGGAGAATATTTAGGCCAAAGAGAAATGAAGTGACGGGAGGTTGGAGAGAACTTATTGAGGAGCTTCATAACTTGTACTCTTCTCCAAGTATAATTAGAATGATCAAGCCAAGAAGGATGAGAGGAGCAGGACATGTAACATGAATGGGAGAGAAGAGGAATGCATATGGGATATTGGTGGGAAAGCCAGAAGGGANCTTTATCACCACTGCTTTTCAACTTTGGCTTTAGAATGTGCCATTAGGAAGGTCCAGGAAAACCAGGTGGGACTGAAATTAAATGGCACACATCAGCTGTGCTGATGATGTGAATCTACTGGGTGATAATACAGAAACCATAAAGAAAAACACACAAACTATAATTGACACTAATAAGGAGCTTGGTCTAAAAGTAAATACAGAGAGAACTAGGTATATGTTGCCATCTCGTAACCAGAATGCAGGACAAATTCATGACATAACGATGTTTTGAAAATGTGGTACAGTTCAGATGTTTGGGAATGGCTACAACAAATCAAAACCTGACTCAGGAGGAAATTAAAAGGAGATTGAATTCGGGTAATGCTTGCTACCATTCAGTCCAGAACCTTTTGTCTTCTCATCTACTGTCTAAAAACATAAAAATTTGATTATACAAAACTAATTTTCCTATGGTTCTGTATGGGTGTGAAGCTTGGTTTCTAACATTAAGGGCTGAATGTAGACTGAGGGTGTTTGAGAACAGGGTGTTGAGGAGAATATTTAGGCCAAAGAGAAATGAAGTGACGGGAGGTTGGAGAGAACTTATTGAGGAGCTTCATAACTTGTACTCTTCTCCAAGTATAATTAGAATGATCAAGCCAAGAAGGATGAGAGGAGTAGGACATGTAACACGAATGGGAGAGAAGAGGAATGCATATGGGATATTGGTGGGAAAGCCAGAAGGGAAGAGACCACTAGGAAGACCAAGATGTAGATGGACTGATAATATTAAAATGGATCTTAGAAAGACAGGATGGGATGGTATAGATTGGATTGATCTGGCTGAGGACAGGGACCAGTGGATAGCTCTTGTGAACATGGTAATGCACCTTCAGGTTCCATAAAATGCTGGGAAGTTCTTGAGTAGCTGCAGAATTGGCAGCTTCTCAAGAAGGGCTCAGCTCCATGAGTGAGTGATTAGAATTGAATGGAGCTAGGATAGCTTAATTGGTATAGTGATGGACTACAGTCTGGATAGCTGAGCAATGCGAGTTCGACTCCTGGAAGGGGCAAGAGATGTTTCTCTTCTCCACAAAGTGTGGAACAGTCCTGGGGCCCATCCAGCCTCCTATTCAATAGACAGCACAGGTTGTCATCCTAGGGCTAAAGTGGCCAGGTTGTGAAGCCTGCTAGTCAGCTCCATCTAGTGCTGAGGTTAAAACTACTCTCTGCCCCCCCCCCATGTCTTCAAATTAAGTGCAGGGACAAATTTACATTAATACAGTTGAATTCTTATGCTGTATTATCCATATGTAAAAGTGAAAATTGAATCATAATGACTGAAGTAGTTTAGCTGCTAAGCAGATAATATTGCCCATTTCAGCCTTGTCTCATGTCCAGCAGACAACATAAGGCATTTCAACATGAGGAGTCCAACAGGTGTGGTGAGTCCACTTTCGATAAATAGTAGTGTGTTTGAGTTCTCAAGTGAGGCAAACAATTCTGGTTATTTAAGCATGACAGGCAAGGAAGGAATTTTCAGTCCTGGCCACATGGATAACAATCCATTCAAATATTCTCCACATATGCAAAAACAACGAGCAACAGGGATGGAACCTCTTCACGAAATGAATCTTCTGAGTTCTGACGACAATTTTAACATGGGACAGAAGCCCAGTACTCAAACAAACCTTGAAAATCCTCTGTATATGGTGGTAGAAACACCTGAAGGCTAACAGGAACGTTTCTTTATTTAAAAAATTTGTTTTACTTAGGAAATAATTTATAAATTATGTAATAATTCATGGGCTTAGATGTTTTGTGCCAAAATGTACATTTTTCTAAAAGAATGATACTGTAATTAACAATACCTTTGTCACCTAATGAAACTCTGTCATTACTAAGCCTAAGAACTTGATTTTTGCAATTTACAGGGTATTTTTGTTACTGTGTCTCGAACCAGAATTTTCTATGATTAAATAGCATGAAAAGGGGTTAAATTTACCTATGCATAAAGGTAAACCATTTTAAATTTTGCATCTAATGCAGCAAGCATGTGAATGTGAAATGTGTATTTACTATTATTTGCTGTGAAGCAATTCATGACTTGGTGTACAGCCAACTGCTTATTAATATAAAGCCATGAAATATTCTCATCTTCATATTATGCATCCTGTTGTGTATCATAATTAATGGAGAAAGGTTTGGCCATCGACACAACGGTATTGTCATGTGTATTAGTGACTAATAACACGGGGTTTGGATTGGTGAATTGATTTATTGGATATTCACCAGTTGTAAGTACAATTAATTAAAACGCTATTGTTGATTTACACAATTTACAATCACTGCACACTAATCTTCTCGGTCTATTTCAACTAGTCTTCACTACCAATTTTACAGCAACAGATTTATAACACAGGAACTGTAAGTCTCACTAAATTACACAATCCCAATATTGGTGTACTACAGCATATGTAATATCACACACTAAGTTTTAATTCTTCTTCTAGCCACACTGCTGCTCCCTTGGAACTTTGGAACTCAAGTGAAGTCTCATTTCTGTATTCTCATATATCTCGGCATGGACCATGCACAGAAAACAGTTCTATTGTTGCATAGCACTGACCAGACAGAAAACATAAGTCACATGATTCCTACCCAGCCAGTTCACTGGCACGCTGACTGTTGCCTAGCAACGGCCTATAACATTCGTGCTATTGTTGCATGTGTGTATCATGGGGTGTTAAATTAAAATTAAATTTCACTTAGTGGGAGGTAGAGTCCAATTGAGTCCACTTGGCATGGCGGCCACTGATTGGCCTATTGTAGCCTGCCCCGGGTGATTATGATGATGCATAATTTGGTGGAATGAAGATTGGCAGGGGAAACTGAAGTACTCAGAGAAAACCCACCCCAGGGCCACTTTGTCCACTACAAATTCCACTTGACCAGACCCAGGATCGAACCAGTGACTAACCGCTTGAGCTATGGCGCAGCCCTCGTGGGGTGTTTATCAAGCCATTGCCTGGTAGTGCATTGATATGTCACAATATTTAATTAAATAAACCAAGGTAACTCTCAACAAATGTTTTATTTCAGTGGCTACTACATGTTTCAGTCCTCATGTGACCGTCATCAGGTAGTCCTACAAATACATCTGTGGTTAATTGAATACCTAATATGGCTCCATATTGGCACAATGCATAACAGTCATATAGTACACTCATGTACATGCTGTAAAGATAAAATTAATGTACTCGTGCATTAAAATAATGTTGCATGTTTAAATGCATCAGATATTAAAATGTTTAGTATTAAAAAGTTATGTCCTTATAATTCTGCAAATCGTGTTATGCAGAATGTGCCCACAGTGAACAGAGTTATGCCCAAGGGTGCGTTGTTATATGTTAATATGAGTACATGCAAAGATTAGTGCAGTATTCCTAGTTCTTCCTTATGTCTTCTAGGTTATATCATCATGTAAGTATTATTACTATGCAGTATGGTGTTTCCTTATTATATGGACGATTTGTATTTCCTCTGTTCAGTTATGTCGACAGCCAAACCTTTTCCCGTTAAATATTCTCATACTAAAAATCATGATCCCAAATATGCATGTAGAATAAGATATATATGCAGTCTCATAACATAGACCAATTACATCACTGTGAGCAGTTCAATATGATCTGAATGATGATATGTATCATACTTTGTTCATAATAAATATGAATATAGTATGGATACAGCACTTCATTTGAAAAGAACAGTTTCCAGAGTAACTTTATACTTCCTGTATATTCTCCTCTTGATAGCCACAAAAAGGGTGCTGTGAGCCAGGTAAAGTAAACGGTGTACAATAAAACTTCAGTCAGTACAGTGTGAGATCACTTTTTCTCTTCTATAATATTACTGGTTCAAAAATAATGAGCATATAGTAACTTTTAGTATAAGTCCAGATTATCAGACAGAAGAACTGCATCTATCATTGATGGTGATTGATCTTCTGGTCTAATACATACATACATACATTTCATTTCACAAGTCCAAAACAAATACAAAAAATTTAAACAAACACACAGATAACAGAATTAGAAGTAATTGTTTATGTTATGCTCCAAATAGTCACAAACTAAAGAAAAGAATTATTCATAAGATATAAAGACAGCCTATTTTTAAAACTAATTCTATCCTCTTTAAGGCTTTGAATGGTTATGGGCAATTTGTTGAATAGTTTAATAGTGGTAAACATAGTACCTTTCTGAAAAGCAGAAAGATTTGAGTTTGGCAAATATAATTGCTTTCGATTTCTTGTATTCAAACCATGAACATCTAAACCTGAACAAAATTTAGTTTGATTATCAATCACAAACATCCTCAACAAGAGAAGGTATTCACATGACAATGGCAGTATATTCGATTTCTTAAAAATAACTTTCCTCTTAAAAAGAAAAATTTAAACATATGTTTGGATCCANTGTAACGTGTTTCGTTACGCCGTAGAGATTGTTAATTGGTTTACTGAACAATCTACAAATAACGGCTACAATTACTTATCACACAGTTGCGGGGTTTCACACTTTATAACCCTAATCGCATTAATCTGTTAACACTGTTGCGGGGTTTCACGATTTATAACCCTATGCGCAAATCAGTTCACTCTGCCTTCAGTAGTCTACACGTTTACAGTAGGGGAGCTATGTATCACTGTATCACACACTCCCAATTACACAATTACACACACGTCCGGTTCTTCTTTCCGCGATGGCTGCTATACTCCAACTATAGTCGGCTGACTGGAGAACTGTTGATAACACGCTCTCGCTCGACTACTACTGATCTCTGCGACTGCCACAGAACAAATCAACTCAGCGACTGTTACGTTACAACCTCTCGCAGCCGCTGTGCAGCTCACTTATATAGCCGCAGTGCTTGCCTGTTGCGTAATGAGTGCCACGTCATCCTGTTATGTCACCGCTGTTGACTCGCGTTGCATAGCTACCAGGTTGCGGGGGCTCGGCTAACTCCGGCTCCGCTTGTGACGTCACCGCAGGGAGAGTGGCGGGGTGATGACTCGCCTATTACGCGAGCGCTACGTTACCGCCACGTGCCGCTGGGGAGGTAGGGGTCCTTCGTTGCGCAACATGTCACAATATGTTTGGATCCAGTGTCAAAAGTAGAACAGTTTCATTCCATTGTAAAAATTGGGAATGTCTGGACGATGATGACCTGGGTTATGACACCATGTGAGCTTGCAGGCAGATACCAACATTTCGAGGAACATGCTCAGTTCCTCCAAAACTTTAGTATTCACCTACCAGCACATAATGTCACAATATAACATACACCATGTCACTGCCAATTTTATGGACTTGTTATTTTGCATACACACCACTGAAAACACAAGAACAAATTTAGAACTGAACTTTAGTCTTCATAGTACAATGAAAGGGGGCATGCAGTAGCATAGTTGGTTGAGGCATTACTTAGCAATGGGTCTACATGCTACAATATTATTTTGTAAAACTTAATATTCCCTGCCATAAATATTCATACTTAATTAAATTTACTTTCAATTTCTTATATACTTCTAACGTGGAACACACATGACCAGTCTTGAAAATACACAAAGACATTCAAACCCAAATATTGGCACTGCCAATGGTTGTATGTCTAGAATACGATGTTATGTTCTCGTCATACTGTGCTATGCAAGACTTTTCATGTTTTTCATCTGGTATATAGCATTCATACACAGCCATCAAGCTGCCGCAATAGCTCAGTTGGTATGGTGATAAATGAATGAATGGTCTACAAACTGGACAGCTGAGGAATCAGGATTCAGTTACCCACAGGTGCAAGAGATTTTTCTCTTCATCACAGTGTGCAGATTAGCTGTGGTGCCTATCCAGTCTCATGTACTGTGGGTAATGGAGCATCTTTCCTCAGAGATAAAGCAGGCACCTCCATGTAGCACAAAGTTTAAGAATGGACAGAGCTATTCCTCCAGTTCCCCATACATTTTCATGGTGTGGTATTTAATTAATTAATCACAGGACAAATTTTGCCTTTTTTACAACCACAAATGTCAATGAAGCTACACAGAGTTGACAGCTGATGCACGGAAATTAAATGAAGCAGATATTGTTAACAGCATCAGAATTAACAATAGATTCAATCCACTGAAATATCAACATAATAACTTGAGTGTTCTGCTTTAATTTATCTGCAGAATTTAAGTATTTATTCTTTAATTGGCTATTTAGCAACATTGCCTGTACCAAGATTGTGTAGCATTGGGATGATTAATGAACATGGAGCAATTGGTGGAATGAGGCTGTGGTCATGAAATATACATGTGTAATTCAAACAGAAATCTTATAAAAATAACTGTGTCAATTAACTTGTTAATATTGTACACACTAGTTTCATAATTGTTTGTGCATTTACATTGTTGTTTATTTGTCTATCTGTAAACCATTTGGAAATACAGTCAAGTAGTATCTTATGAATACAGAACATTTTAAATGAATAACATTGCATTTTTATCTGTTACAGCAAGCTGAGAATTTTGTGCTTGGTACTTTAACAATTAATGTTCATTCATTCATTTGATTTTATTCTGATTAAAATACATTAATGATTATGGCATAAACTTATTATAAATATAGCTTATTCTATATATGTCAGGTGGCAATACCTAATAACCTAAACTTTAAAATATACTATACTATAATATTACCTGTTCTTGGTTAGAACATGTCCTTTTTTTATTGCTAGTGAGGTGGGACTAAGTCCCTTGTACTGCGGCCACTTCTGGCCTATTGTACGAGCCCCAGATGATAGGTGAGGGTTACTGTGGAGCAATTGGTGGAATGAAGATTGGCAGGGGAAACCGAAGTACTACGAGAAAACCTGCCTCAGCGCCTCTTTGTCCACCAGAAATCCCACTTGACCAAACCCGTGATCGAACCTGGGCTGCCGTGGTGGGAAGACAGTGATTAACTGCTTGAGCTATGGCATGGCCTAGAACATGTCCTAAGGATGAATATAAATCAAATCTCACATAAACTGCTGGAATGTAACATGAGAGGAAAAGGAAATACAGTGTGGGATATCAGTTCCAAACTTGGAGAGACAACCCATGTAAACTTCTATAACAGATATTTATTGCTGTTAGAAGAGCATACAGCAACTGGTGAGGTATAGTGGGGCCCTGAAAAGGGCCGTATCTCTAAGGAAGGGTGTGCCTGATGAATGCCACAGTGGGCTGGCAGCCGGGCGAGTGCGGTAAGTGTTGGCAGCGGACTTCTGCAATGGGTCTAGATGACTGCTAATGGAGTCGGCTGATAGTATTGCTGCTAGGGGACTCGGTGTTGCTGTGTGTGCTCCAGATGAGTCGTCGCAAGGTAAGTATAGCTCTGACTGATTGATCAGCACATCAGAGGTCTGCATATTTATTTGCTGTCTCTAGCAGCACCCAACCCAAAGAGCATTGGCGCTGCTGTGGTCCACACTGATTGGCTAGTGTTATGGTAGGCTTCCACAACAGCAAGACAAAAGAAACAAAGAACAGCAATCTTAAAAACCAAAGACAGAGGTCATATAGCATAATCTGCAAAGTTGTTGATCCTGATATTTTATATAGGCGTGAAACTTAGTTTTTTGAAGGATGAACACAGATTCAAGGATTTTAGAGAATGAAGTGCTGAAATGAGTTGCCTCTAATGCTAACATAATATAACCTAGACAATTCTATACTTTTCAACTCCTGGTAACAATGTAACAATGTGTAAAGGTAAAGTTGTCCTGTGCTTAATTAAACACCATTCCAAGAAGAGATATTGGAAAGTCGAGGTATAGTTCCACAATTCTTGATTTCAGCACTAGATGAAGGTGCATGGTCAGCCTCACTCATCAGCTGCCTTACCCCTGCAGCAAAGAGCTCCAGGTACTCACTGGATAGGTCTGGATACTGTAAAAGTAAAAGTAAAGCTATCCCTGTACCAGGCCATGAAGGCCCATAGGGTTGTGAGACGTTGAGGGTCCCACATTATCTAGACAATCAGCTCAAAGATGGTGGTAAGTTTGTCAGCCTTATGGGCTTTACTCCCCAGGAAAATTATTTAATTCCTGGTACTCATTTCTGTTAGAGGCTGAGTAAACCCCAGGGCCTAGTGTGGCTGGAAGGATTAGGTCAAATGAAAAAAATCCAATGACCTCATCGGGATTTCAACCCGTGACCTTCTGGCTTGTAGCGTAGCACCTCAACCACTACACTACCGCATGCTCCCATCTGGATACTGTACAACAGAGAAAAATCCCTATTCCTGTCAGGAATGGAACTCCATCCAACCTGTAGTCCACTGCTGCGCCAACTCAGCTATCCCAGCCGATTTCAATTTCCTGATTCATAAAACCTACACGTTTCATGAGACAGTCAACAGAAATTAGGATTCTATGGATTTCTAGACACACTCACTATAAACGAACTGTTTTTATATGCTGGTGTTGGTAAATATATATGATTCTTCATAATTTGTATTCATATAGATTCCTACTGTGTTAAATTTCTCAGTTACAAGATCAGTTTCACATGATCACATTTATAACTATTAATGTATAAAAAGAACAAGTCACATGAAATCCAGGTCCATACAAAATTTCACATGCCTGCTTCCAGTGATTCACTGTGAAACAAAAGATTAACATATGTTGGTATCACTGATTTGAAAGGCACCGTAACCTCTACTGGCATCATAATCATTCCATTTATGTGAAAATATTGTATTTGGTTTTAAAGTTATTAAAGGTTGCATTTATAACTATTAATGTATAAAAAGAACAAGTCACATGAAATCCAGGTCCATACAAAATTTCACATGCCTGCTTCCAGTGATTCACTGTGAAACAAAAGATTAACATATGTTGGTATCACTGATTTGAAAGGCACCGTAACCTCTACTGGCATCATAATCATTCCATTTATGTGAAAATATTGTATTTGGTTTTAAAGTTATTAAAGGTTGCATTTATAACTATTAATGTATAAAAAGAACAAGTCACATGAAATCCAGGTCCATACAAAATTTCACATGCCTGCTTCCAGTGATTCACTGTGAAACAAAAGATTAACATATGTTGGTATCACTGATTTGAAAGGCACCGTAACCTCTACTGGCATCATAATCATTCCATTTATGTGAAAATATTGTATTTGGTTTTAAAGTTATTAAAGGTTGCATTTATAACTATTAATGTATAAAAAGAACAAGTCACATGAAATCCAGGTCCATACAAAATTTCACATGCCTGCTTCCAGTGATTCACTGTGAAACAAAAGATTAACATATGTTGGTATCACTGATTTGAAAGGCACCGTAACCTCTACTGGCATCATAATCATTCCATTTATGTGAAAATATTGTATTTGGTTTTAAAGTTATTAAAGGTTGCATTTATAACTATTAATGTATAAAAAGAACAAGTCACATGAAATCCAGGTCCATACAAAATTTCACATGCCTGCTTCCAGTGATTCACTGTGAAACAAAAGATTAACATATGTTGGTATCACTGATTTGAAAGGCACCGTAACCTCTACTGGCATCATAATCATTCCATTTATGTGAAAATATTGTATTTGGTTTTAAAGTTATTAAAGGTTGCATTTATAACTATTAATGTATAAAAAGAACAAGTCACATGAAATCCAGGTCCATACAAAATTTCACATGCCTGCTTCCAGTGATTCACTGTGAAACAAAAGATTAACATATGTTGGTATCACTGATTTGAAAGGCACCGTAACCTCTACTGGCATCATAATCATTCCATTTATGTGAAAATATTGTATTTGGTTTTAAAGTTATTAAAGGTTGCATTTATAACTATTAATGTATAAAAAGAACAAGTCACATGAAATCCAGGTCCATACAAAATTTCACATGCCTGCTTCCAGTGATTCACTGTGAAACAAAAGATTAACATATGTTGGTATCACTGATTTGAAAGGCACCGTAACCTCTACTGGCATCATAATCATTCCATTTATGTGAAAATATTGTATTTGGTTTTAAAGTTATTAAAGGTTGCATGGTGGGGAGGACGGGGACAGACAGATGGACAGATATGATATACGAGTAGTAACATATTCATAAGCCTTAGAAAATAAGGTAAACAGATAAAAACTCTTGGTTAAATTTTCATTTTTTATATTTTGTATTCAGAAAGAATGGTAAATATTTAAAAGGGTGAGATAAACATTCCCATTTTTTTTTAAATGTTAAAAGTGTTATTCACTTTGAAACAAGATCATTCCAGAACATTTGTCTATTTACATAGAAAAAAAACATATCAAAACTGAGCTACTATTTGGAGGCGGTGATCTTGTACAACTTGTCTGCATACTCGATGAACTGTTCCGTGGCTTCACAGTGTTTCTGCAGATTCTCGCTAACAATGCCATAACCGTAGTAGGCACCTGCAATAGCTCCAGCCATGCTGGCTATTGTATCAGTGTCACCCCCAAGAGAGATGGCATACTGGATTGTACGTCTGAATGGATTGTCTGTCTGTAAATAAAAATGTGTAAAATGTCAGATTTCAGGTTCTCATGGCAATGATTATGAAGAATTACTATCTTGTGGGATATGATACCTGACATTTCACAGGAGCGTACTGCCTACATCTTTAGGGTTGAAGAGTAAGCTGCAAGCAAGTACAGTTTAGTGCATAACGGTAATTACATAAAAACAATACATTTTTTCAAATATCTCAATGATCATCATTTGGAAGATTTGGAAATTCATTGCTGTTAATTTAAAAATATCTGTGTTGTGTCTGCATGTAACAACACTGCATGTTACATAATACTGAGTTATCCTCAATTATGCAGTCAAATCCCAAATCACGTGACCACTCCTACAAATCATGATATAGACAAACAGCCAAATTCAAAACTGCAGTGGATCTTCTAACCAGTCTTTCACCAAAATTTTCAAAATGCATTCAAATATGTAATTTATTATAAGGACCATTTACTACCTTATCAAGTATAAAAGTCACCCTACCCTTACAACAAACAATAACAAACAATATTCATACCAAGTTTCGTGGAAATCTGTTGGTTGGTTCAAAAGTTACTGGGAGGAGTGGACACACACACATGAACATGGCGATTTCATAATCATATTTTCTATTTTAATTATGTAAAATAGGCTATAAAGAGGATAATTTCATACACTGATTTACATACATCTATTTCTGGTATAGGTGTACAGGCCCTGAGGAAACAGAAGATGGCAGTGGGAACAGAATACAGAGCAGCCACACTGGTTCCCAAAGTTTTCTCAACCTCTGCATCATGTGTATCTTCCTTTTTGTCCAAAAGGACCTGCATCTTCTTTAGCTGTGTTTGGTAGGGATATGGGTCATCCAGGCCTAAGCTATAAAAAGAGATACCTTATATAGGTAGGGGCATGCGTTACCATTGTTGAGGCACTATGCTACAAGCCGGAAGGTTGCGGGTTCGAGTCCTGATGAAGTGGACTTTTTCCCCCAGTTTACCTAATCCTTCCAGCCGCACTATAGCCCTGGGGGTGACTCAGCCTCTAACAGAAATGAGTACCAGGAATCTTCCTGGGGGGTAAAGGGTGGCTGGCACATAAGGCTGACAACCTTACTGCCAACTGTAAGTCGACTGTCTAGATAATGTGGGACCCTTAACATCTCACAACCCTATGGGCTTTCATGGCCAGTTAGAGGGACAGCTTTACCTTTTTACATTATATATAGGTATGCTATGTTACAGCAGTAAAGAATTTACTTCTTCATTGCTTACGTTCTTGTCTTTGATATAGACACAGATGTTCTTGGGATATGGGAATTTCCTATCCTTCCCAAATGTTGAAACCATATTATTTGACAGGTTTAGCAATTTCATTATGCTAGTCTTCACCCACTGGTTAAACTATAATACACTCTGTAAGATTTGAGGTTTTCACGGCTATACACTCCTCTATGTGATAATTCATTACGATTTCATCTATATTAAGTTACGGATCACTTTAAATTTCTACTTTCTATCAGTTTCCATCTTTACTGTGGAATTTTCCAAGCCTAATTAATGCTTCTAACACGCCATGATAATGGCAATATTCTTCAGTCAACTGATAAAAAAGCAGGGCCCTTTCCACCTGCTACAGTTCTGTTGTGTGGTGGCTGCATGAAACTTGGTTTTGTTCACTCTAACAAAATTACATTCTCAAGAGGGGAGGGGGTTCAGTTTGCAGATTGACCTGTATGAGAGGGGGTTGAATGTGTAGGGTTTATCATGGTTAAAGACCAGTTCTACTTCACCTATACAACAAAGGCATAACACTCATAAAATTTTGGTCAAATGGTTCAAAACGTTGAAAGATGAGACACACAGAGATAGTAACTTGATCTTTAAGTTTACTTTCTTCCCTTAACAAAAAGCTAAATACAGAAAGAGGCAAAATGATGCTTACCCTTCACAGTCTTTCTCAATTTGTGACATCTTTTGTATTAGCTGAGTTGAAAAGTTGTGAACATCGAGTGTTTCCTTTGGGTCTAAATGAAGACTCTGATGGACTGCAATGGCCTATTGGCAGAAAGACGTTCCAGATACTAGCGATATCAATAACAGAGCAAATACAGAAGCAGAATACCTTGTACTCAATAGTATGAAATACAAATTGCTACAGCTACCCTCAGGTCAGAGAAAAAATGCATATGGGTGGTTGTGGTGCTGGTGATTCAAGCCAGCAGCCTGCTCCTACATCTATGTATGCTGCACACCCCCTCATCAGGAGATCTCGTTCACCTCCCTGCCTTGGGAGAAGGGATTCATTTCATTATTATACATTGCTCCAACTGTTACTGTATCTGATAATAATAAAATATAATACTAAAAACTCCATGATTTTAGTCTGCAAGCGAACTATACTGACCAAGCGACCGCAGCT